GAATAGACAGATTAACACTTTCGATGATTCTCAGCATGCCTGAACTACATGGGGGAGGTAGATATAATGGCATCCCAAGTACTTAATTTGTTTTTGAGTTTAGTAAATTTTATAGAATGGAGAAGATTGGCAAAGCAAGTGAAATAAACTGAGACCTTATCATGAAAGACTGACTTTGAAGCTTTGGTATTTATGTTGTAGCTGTCAGGAGAAAGCCATTAAGGAAGTCTGGGTGGGTGGTATAATTGGCCTTGTATTTTGGAGCATACTCTAGCAGCAAAACAGAATGATGCTCTTTTAGGGGCCTGTTGTAGTAATTAAGTAAAAAGTGTGAAGGACTTGAGGTAGTAGTAACTGAAGTAGTTAAAGAGAAAGGTCAGGAGTAGCACACACCTTTTTTTGTTTGTTTGTTTTGTTTTTTCGAGACAGGGTTTCTCTGTGTAGCTTTGTGTGCCACCACCGCCTTGCTAGCACACACCTTTAATGATAGCACTTAGGAGGCAGAGGCAGGAGGCTCTCTCTGAGTTCAAGGCCAGCCTGTTTTACATAATGGATGAGACCCTGTCTTTAAAACATACATGCACAGCCGGGCGGTGGTGGCGCACGCCTTTAATCCCAGCACTCGGGAGGCAGAGCCAGGAGGATCTCTGTGAGTTCGAGGCCAGCCTGGGCTACCAAGTGAGTCCCAGGAAAGGCGCAAAGCTACGCAGAGAAACCCTGTCTCGAAAAAGCAAAAAAAAAAAAAAAAAAAAAAAAAAAAATACATGCACATACACACACACACACAGTAAGGATACACACATAAAAGCCAAGTGTCGTGGTACACACCTCTAATCTCAGGCCTACATAGCGAGTTTCAGGCTATCCAAGGCAACAATAAGAGACTTTCAAAACTGTGGGTGTAAGGAGGAGGAGAATGAGAGATATTAGGATAGAGCTAGCACTTCCATATTTCATAGTTTGTCTAATGTAGAATATCATGAATAATTCCTCTTCAAAGAAAATTGCTGAAAAAAATGTGTGGTATTGGGGACTGGATCCACGGCATATCAGTTGTACTTTTAGAATACCTGGGTTTGGTTCCCAGTATTTGTATGTAGGTTGACTACTGTCTAACTCTAGTTTCAGAGGATAGTAAAGCCCTCTTCTGACCTTTTTGTTACCAAGGCACACATATGGTGCATATACATGTATGCAATCAAAATATTCATACACATAAAGTAAAAGTGTATTTTAAAAATCTTTTATAGTTCATCATGCTGCCAAAAGGTTAAAAATGAAATTAAACTGGGAATGCAGATGTTAGCTAGCTTCTTGTTGTTTTTGTTTTTTGAGACAGTGTTTTTCTGTGTAATAGTCCTGGCTGTCTTGGAACTCGCTCTGTAGACCAGGCTGGCCTTGAACACACAGAGATCCACCTGCCTCTGCATCCTCAGTGCTGAGATTAAAGGCATTTGGGACCACCTGGCAATCTTTCATCCTGTGGAATCTGCCCAAATTGTTTTTTGTTTGTTTGTTTGAACTTCTTTTCATAGTATAATGGAGCCCAGCAAACAAAGCCCAAGGGTTGAAAGAATCCAAAAGGACTCCTGCTCAAGGAAGCTGACATTTTGATATCAGTCTTGGCAAGGAGTCCATGTATGGAGAAGGATACCATAAAGCTCTTGCTGTACAGTCATAAGGCCAGAGCTTTACTCCCACCACCATGTATCAAGTTGGGCTCCCTGCAAATAGCTGGGATTCTAGCTTTAAGAGGTTCGAAGACACCATATAATGGCCTCTGTGCTTTTAGATGTGTGCAACTGCACAAACATGTACATGCACTTATGCAGATACACACATACAAATAAATAATGAAAAGGATAAAAATTACAGGGCTAGAGAGATGGCTCAGCAGTTAAGAGCACAAACTGATCTTGCAGAGGACCCAAGCACATGCATTGACTCAAAACTACCAGCTTGATAGAATCTGCTGCCCTCTCAGATTCAGGTGTATATACCCTCATACACATATATTGAAGTGTTTACTTATATTGTTCTGTTATTAAATAAAACTCAAGAGTGAGATATTGGGCTAAAAACCTGATTGATCAGAGAAGTGGCCAGTGACCTCCACCCTCTCTCCTTCCCTGATTCAAAAAGACCTGCAAATCTTTCTAAATCCCTCCTCCCTACTACTCTTGTCTCTATATATGTATCCTGGGTCCTCTAAAACCTTAATGGCTAATTCTGGTCAGCTAGTTGCTGACTCCTTCCCCGATTCAAGGTTAAATTTATTGACAGTCTCAGAGTGTCAGTGTGAACAAAATCCTGCAACAGTATATACACAATGAAAAGATAAAATTTTACAATAACACAAAAACCATTCGATAATGAGTTAGAGCCAGGAAAAAATAAGAGATAGTGATGCATAGATATTACAGAAAGTTTATATTGTAGTGGTATATGTTTTATATTATAGAGGTAATTGAAATTAAAGATTGAAATAGGAATGTGAATTAAGGCTTTCTTAAAACATGGTCAGATGAAGAACTAAGCAAAAATAGAACTACTTATAAAGGATTAAATGATGTTAAATCAGTTGATATATCTAAAGAGAAAATATGTGAACTAGAAAATATGTGAACTAGAAGATAGCAGTGAAGATATCACCAAGTCAGGTGAGCTGCCATGTGCCTGTAATTCCAGGACAGGGAGGCTGAGGCAGGAGGAGGCCAGCCTGGTCTGCAGAGCCAAACCCTATCTCAGAAGGAACAAACAGACAAGATAAGGCTAACACTGCAACATGAAGATATAAAGAGGCAGCAGCATTAAAAAAGATTGATGCCGGGCGGTGGTGGCGCACGCCTTAAATCCCAGCACTCAGGAGGCAGAGGCAGGTGGGTTTCTGTGAGTTGGGAGGCCAGCCTGGCCTACAAAAGGAGTTCCAGGATAGCCAGGGCTGTTACACAGAGAAATCCTGTTTTGAAAAAACAAAAGGAAAAGAAAAGAAATCCAGTGAACCCCAAGGAATAAATAAGATTAACCTTAACAAGTCACAGTGGAACTGCAGGGCAGTGACAGAAACCTTAAAAGCTCTAGAACCAACAGACTGCTATAAAAACAATTTTCTTTAAGCTGACAACTGATTTCCCAGCTGTAGCAACAGAAGCCAGAGGACATTGGAATTCTGTCTTGTGTACTGAGACAGAACAGCTGTCAGCCTTGGATAGCACACTCAGTAAAGTGCTTTCCCAATAGACATTTGAAGACAAAGATCTTAGTGCATTTGCTACCGACAGAACGAGACTCCAAGGGTTATAATGGAGAAAATGTAGAAAGCTCAAGGTGATTTGCAGTGGCCACATAATGTTTAAATCAAATACACACTGTGGTTCACATTATACCATTATAGGATGCTTTATGTTTCAAAATTTGCTTCGTTAACTGAATCTACTCTGAACATATTTCTGGACATGTTTGTGCATGTAGTATTTCATGTTGATTTGATTCTAGAAGTCTGGACAACTGTGTCAAAAAAGGAATTTCTTGGTACATGTAAAATTGTTTTTAAGAGGACTTACCAATTTATATTTCACTCAACAGATTGTGCTGGCTTTATTTACAAATGATTGTTTGGACCAATTTTAAATAGCAAAGATTGACATTTCTTACCAGATATTTATATCTTAGACAAAAATGTCTCGTTTACTTCTCTTGGTTTGATATTAAAAATGTGTTCTGAGTTTGAGCGCTAGCCCAGCCCCTCCTCAAAAACTTTTTGAATACATAAAAATATTAATTGAATTGCAATCTTTCTAACAGGAAATATTTCTAACTTTCTAGAATGTAGTCTTTAATTTTTCTTTATCCCATTTTCAGTTTATTATTACTAAAAAATAATATACTTATCCTGTTATTGTTTTGTTTTGTTTTTGAGACAGGGTTTTACAGTATAGTCCCAGGCTGGCCTTGAACTCAGAGATCCACCTGCCTCTGAGTGCCTCTCAGGTGCGCCTGTATGTACTATCACACTAGTTAATTTAGCCATATAAAGAAATTGTAAATAGGGGCTGGAGAGATGACTCAGAGGTTAAGAGCACTGACTGCTCCTTCAGAGGTCCTGAGTTCATTTCCCAGCAACCACATGGTGGCTCACAACCATCTGTAATGAGATCTGGTGCTCTCTTCTGGTCTGCAGACATACATGCAGGCAGAACACTGTATACATATTAAATAAATAAATCTTTAAAAAAATAAAAATAAACAAAAGAAATTGTAAATAGAGCTGAGGCTATGCAGACATGAGGATTTGGATTCAAATCCCCAGAACGTACAGCCAGTTACTGTAGCACACATCTGTAATCTTAGTGCTCCTATATTGAGATGAAAGGCTAGAGAATCTCCTGAGAGCTTGTTAGATAGCTAGCTTAATTTATGTGGTGGCAGATAAGAGACTCTATCTGACAAGGTAGAAGCAAGGAACAGTACCAGATGTTGTCCTTTGACCTGTGTACATGTGCCATGGCATACTCACATGTACATACATGCATATACACACACATACACAAAGAAATGGCAAATAGCCAGGCATGGTAGTGGCTCATTCTTGTAAGCCTAGTATTTGAGGCTGAGGCAGGAGGATTTCTGAGTTGAACACTTGGCCAAGCTACAGTGTAAGACCTGTCTTAAACAAACAACAACAACAAAAAACACATATACTTAACAAATAAAAAAAAAAAAGGAAAAGAAAAGGAAATGCGCACACACACACACACACACACACACACACATATCATTGTGAAAGAGTCTGTACTGCTATGGTGCTGTTGTGTTGTTTTCTAGCTCTGTGTATTTATACCAGCCAGCCAGCCAGCAGGACAGAAGTAAACAAATGCATTTTTGTAGAAGACATTTTAAAGGGGGAAGGACTGTTAATCTGTTTGGAAGTTCTGTTTTAACGTGAGCTTGAATGTAAGATGCCATTTTTAACTTTCTTTTCTGTTCCTTTGCTGTTTCAGGTGCAAGTGAAAGTGTAGGAAAACATATGCTTGAAGCTTGTAACAACAACCTGGAGATGGCGGTCACTATGTTTTTGGATGGTGGAGGAATTGCTGAGGAGCCCAGTACCAGTTCTGCAAGTGTCTCTACTGTCAGACCACACACAGAGTATGAGTTTATTATTTATTGTAGCAGTTACTCTTTGCCTAAATTAACTAGTTGCATTTTTATCAAAGTTAGGTCAGTTTTCTAATTTTGACAGACATTTAAGTTTGAAAGTCTCTGAAAAATACTATGTGGAAATGTTTGTATTTACTATACCCTAAGTTCGCTAGAGCATGCCATCTTATCTATTTAATCTCTTCTTTTCAGTCCTCAAGAACTGTGTGGGTTAGAGGCGGGCAGGCAGGTGACAGAGTACAGGGTACAACTGCTTGATTATAACTGGCCTAAGACTGGGGTTTGTGTGCCTCAAGCCACCAACTATACCACAGAAAGGATTTTGTTGGCTGAGGATTTAAGCTCAGTTGGTAGAGTGTTTGCCTAACATTCCAGAAGTTCTGAGTTTAAGACCCAACACTGAATAAACCAGACTTAGTGACACATACTTGGAATCCAGGCACTTAGGTGGAGACAGGAGGATTCAGGCTCATCCTCGGCTACATAGCAAGCTTGAAGCCATTTTGGTTTTGGTTTTGTTCTTTTTAAGAACTTTATAGATTGGTACTATTATTTTGCCTCTGAGGAAACTAGAGCATGTGTAGATGTAACCAACCGTCTTATTAAATAAGAAACACAGAACCAATGTAAAAGAGAAAGCCGAGAGCTCAGAGTTAAAATCTTACCCTTCCTCCTGCGGTGCTCCTAGCTCCCCGAAAGAGACCTATTTCCTGTGTGTATGTCTTTAAATAGTCTTTCTGTTCTGCCTTCTCATTGGTTGTAAACCCAAACACGTGACTGCCTCGTCACTGTCTGAAACTACAGCCCTCCAGGTCTTAAAGGCATATGTCTCCAATGCTGGCTGTATCCCTGAACACACAGAGATCTATGGGATTAAAGGCGTGCGCCACCACCGCCACGCTCTTTCTATGGCTCTAATAGCTCTGACCCCCGGGCAACTTTATTTATTAACATACAATTAAAATCACATTTCAGTACAAATAGAATACCACTATAAGCATGGCCATTTTTTCCTAAGCTACACAGCAGTTAAAAAGCAGATACAGTTTAATGAAGTTCATATTTTCAAACATAGATTTTCCTAGGAAAATGAGTTATCTTGAAATATTTTTGAAAACTAAGGTTGAATCTATAGCTTAGTGGTAGAATGTGTGACTAACATGTATGGGAGCTGAGTTTAAGATGTAGCACTAAAAAATAAATAAAGTAATAAATATATAAACAAAATTCTAGTCTTTAGGGGCTGGAGAGATGGCTCAGTGGTTAAGAGCACTGGCTACTCTTCCAGAGGACCTGGGTTCAGTTCCCAGCATCCACATAGCAGCTCACAGCTGTCTGTAACTCCAGTTTCAGGGGATCTGACACTCTCACACAGACATACATGTAGGCAAACATCAATGCACATCAAATATATCATTAAAAAAATTCTAGTCTTTTGTTTGTTACCTACCTAATCACTAAAGACATCCCCACTGTATATAGAACTGTATATATTTGATTTTCTAGTCCTTTATATTTGATTAATGAGAGTTTGTGATAAATACCTAACTCTTGAGCAAAATTTCATCAGACTTTGGAAAGTATTAGACTTGAACCTTGTTGGGACTACTATAGGCACATGCCTCTGCACTCAGTTGAAAAACAAAACAAACAAAAAAAACCCCGCTTAATTTAAAAGTCCTTAAGTAAAACTCTATACTCTTAATCTTTTGTAATTCTCATAATTTATGGTATGAGATACTAAATGAGGAATCATTTTAAATAAAACAGGCAAAGGGACAGGGTTTTATTTTTATTAAGTCAAACATAATTTAAGAACCAGGTCACTTGTAAGAGTAATTGCTCCTTTGTTGAGTTAGTTTCAGATTAGTGGAATATTGTTTCTACATGAGTTATGAACTTCAGAAGTCCTATGAATAGCTTACAGAGTTTTTACTTGTTGTTTTTTGTTTTCTGTTGACCACTTGTCCCAAGTGTGATCCCATTTCCCACCATGGCTTAAAGCTTTAATGGGCATCAAGACTAAGCCAGATGTGTTATGCACCTTTAATTACAGCACTCCAGAGGCAGATAAGTGGGTCTCTGTGAAGTCCTAGGCCATTCTTGTCTACATAACACATTCCAGGCTAGCCTGTTCCAATAAATAAATAGATAAACAGATAATTAGATAGATAAATAAATAAATAAATAATTTTGAAAAGTGATTTAAGTTGATAAAAACTTTAATAGTAGATATTTGCGGTTGATATGGGGGAACACATGTAAATGTTTATTTATTTATTTATTTTTTATTTTTTTGGTTTTTTCGAGACAGGGTTTCTCTGTGTAGCTTTGCGCCTTTCTTGGAACTCACTTGGTAGCCCAGGCTGGCCTCGAACTCACAGAGATCCGCCTGCCTCTGCCCCCCCCTCCCCCCCCCAGTGCTGGGATTAAAGGCGTGCGCCACCACCGCCCGGCTTGTAAATGTTTATATTTATTTGTTTACTTTGTTTATTTATTTATTTTTGATTATACCTGAAATACTAGTTTTTGTTTTGAGACAGGGTCTTACTGTATATTTCTGGCTGTCTTGGAACTCACTATGTAGATCAGGACGGCCTCAAACTCAGAGATCTGCCTGCCTCTGCCTCTGGGTGCTGGGATTAAAGGGATGTGCCACCAGTTTGGCTTTTGTTTTTGTTTAATGACCCTGACAGCATTGTGTGTGTGTGTGTGTGTGTGTGTGTGTGTGTGTGTGAGAGAGAGAGAGAGAGAGAGAGAGAGAGAGAGAGAGAGAGAGAGATATGAGTGAAACCCAGGGCCTCACCATTGCCGGGCAAGTACTCTGCCATTGAGTTAAATCCTAGCACTATAGCATTTATTTTTACCCTTTGAGATAGGATTTCATTGCTTTGTCTAAGCTAGTCTCAAACACCTAAGCCCCAGAGATTCTTTTTACTGAGTCTTTTAAGTAGCAAATATTTCTCATAAATGAGTATCTTTTCCTACTTAGTTACATCATGATTTGGTTAGATTGTTTATATGCTAACAGATGAACATTTAATAGTAGCTCCTAATTCCTTAACTAGAATTTCCCTTCCAATTCACCTTCTCCTTTGTCTTTCCACTCATTGTAGTTAACATTGCCAAGTATCTTCAGATGTACAGTAATTAAGTCTTACCTTATAGGGACATTAAAAATTTTTTTTTTAAAGATTGTGTATGTTTGTGCTCATACCTGTGTGTGTGTGTGAGAGTGGCCATGGAGGCCAGGAGGGAGTGTTGGATCCCTTGGATCTAGAGTTACAAATTTTTGTGAATGATGGGACCTTAGCTCATGATTGAGTGAGCAGTAAGCCCCCTTAACCACTGAGCCATCTCTCCATCCCCAAGACTATTAATTTATTTAACAATTTATTTATTGCAGTTTAGTGAGCAAATTGTCTTAGATTGAGGCAGTTTTACACATACCCTATGAAGTGCAGTATATACCAATTAAGGAAAAATTTATTTGGATAAAACATACTTTTTAAAGCTTGGCATGATAGTGCACATCTGTGATCCTAACACTTGGGAGGTGGGGACAGGAATATCAAAAGTCTAGGGCAGCTTTGGCTACATAACAAGTTCAAGGCCAGCTTGGGTTACATGATACCCTACTGTAACATTTTTTTTTTTTTTTTTTTTTTTTTTTGCCAACTCTTTTAAAGGTACTTAAGGGACCCCTCTTTACCTTGCCCTGCTTACTTTCCCTGAAATGGAGTCTTTCTTTGTTGCTCTTGGCTTGGGCTCAAGTGACTGCCTGCTTCAGCCTTTGAAGTAATTAGCACTATAGGCATAGGTCACCAAAACCAACTGGCTTGTTTCTTTTTGATTGAAGTATTTACTAAACTTCCTTCTACAGATACATTGTCTGTTCCTTCAGGTTATTGAAATCTGCATATGAGCAGTGACCTATGTCCAGTAGGGAAGAGCAGCTGGGTGTGGTGGCACATTTCTATAACCCCAGCACATGGCAGGTGAGACTTCTACCACTGAAACACCAGTGGTTAATCCCAGCACTTGGAAGGTTGAGACAGGAGAATCTTGAGCTTGAGGCCAGCCTGGGTTATGTAGTAAGACTTGTAAACAAAAAGTAGGAAAGAATACTTAACATAGTCTTGAATTATTCTTCAATCATTTGTCTTATTATAGATTTATCTAACTGGTGGCTCTTTAATTATAGAATGTTAGTGTTCATTGGCAGATGAATATTCGTAGTTTTTTTAAAAATATAAAGTATGTCTTGGAATTCCAAGCGTTAGATATCAAAATTCCAACTGTTAGATAATGAAAAAAATAGGGCCCCGTTAGATTTGATGACACGTTTGTAATCCCAGCATCCTTTGCTGTATTTTTTTGTTTGTTTGTTTGTTTTTTGTTTTTTGTTTTTTTGAGTCAGGATCTTATGTAGATCAGGCTGGCCTCAAACTCATCTGGCTTTGCCTCCTTAGTGCTGGGATTAAAGGCATACATCAACACGCGCAGTGCATCCCCAGCTCAGTTACGAGGATTGAAGTTTGAAGCCAGCCTAGTTAGACCCTGGCTCAGAAATGGGCTCAGAAAAAATGTGTGGTGGGCAAGGGGTTTTGCAGGACATGAGAACACATGATAGAAATCATTAGGCCTAATTTAATTTAAACTGGTCTTTATATGTTTATAATCCCCCCCCCATGTGTTTGGGTGGCCATATCACTTCTGGGATGGTCAGAGGACAACTTGAGGCTGTCAGTTCTCTCTTCCGAGTGTTGGTTTTAGGGATCTAGTAAGGTGGTCAGCCCTTGGTAGCAAGTGCCTTTACCCAATGGGTCATCTTAGAAGTCTTAAAAGTTACTGCTATTTTCTATGACAATTAAGCCAAAAAATATTAAGCACTTTTAATATTTGGTTATAACTTTAAATAAACTGATTTTAAAGGTAAAATGGCACTTATTTTTTATTTTTTTGAGACAGGGTCTCTGCGTATCCTTCACTGTTCTGAAACTCACTATGTAGACCAAGCTGGCCTTGAACTTGCAGAGATTCACTTGTCTGTGCCTCCAAGTACTGAGACTAAAGGCGTTCGACACCATGCCCAGATCCCATTTGTTTGTATTTTTAAGATTGGTGTTACAGATTGTTATGAGCCACCATATCAGTGCTGGAAATCAAACCTGGGGTCCTCTGGAAGAACAGCTAACTCTCTTAACCACTGAATTATCAGCCCCGGTATAAATCATTTATCAAAAATGATTTAGGTTTTCTAGAAAAAATAAAGCTTATAAAAATAAATATTTTTACTGAGTTATTAGTGAGTAATTATATTGAGTGTATGAAAGTAAACTTTGAAAAGAATGTTTTTTGTTTTTATTTTTAATTTATTTCCAGTGCTGGGGATCAAATATAGGATCCCAACGTCCATTTTCTCCCTCTACCTTGTGCATGGGAACCAAATTCAGGTCATTAGACATGAGGGCAGGCATCTGTCTCCACTGAGCCCTCTCCCTACCACCAGAATAATCTTTTAAAGGATGTGTAATCACTAGGGCTGCAGAGAGAGTGCAATGGTAGGAGCACTGGCTGCTTTTCTAGAGAACTAAGTTCCTAGTACCCACATGACAGCTCCCAACGGTTTGAACTCCAGTCCCAGGGCATCTGAGGACATGCATGCACATAGTATAAAGACATATATTGAGGCAAACATTCATACACATAGAAAATAAAATTTCAGTGGGTGGTGGTGGTTGCACATGCCTTTAATCCCAGCATTCAGGAGGCTGAGGCAGGCAGATCTCTAAGTTCAAGGCCAGCCTACTCTACAGAGTTAGTTCCAGGACAGCCAAGGCTGTTATATATTGAAACCCTATCTCCCAAAAAAACAAACAAACAAACAAAAAAAAAAACCCAGAAAGAAAAAAATCTCAAGAAGAGTTTATATTTTATTATATATTTTTATACATTATTATATTTTTATATAGAATATTCCTTTTATGTATAGTAGGATCTGTTGAGTAAATACTTTTAAGATTATATCTATGATAGCATAAAATTTATTACCTATTGTTAAAGCTTACTTTAATATATCTTTGTCTTTTAATTACTATGTGATAGAGCAGTAATTATATTGATTCTAGTAAGCCTATATTTTTCCAATCTTTTTTTTTTTTTTTTTTTTTTTTTGGTTTTTTTCGAGACAGGGTTTCTCTGCGTAGCTTTGCGCCTTTCCTGGAGCTCACTTGGTAGCCCAGGCTGGCCTCGAACTCACAGAGATCCGCCTGGCTCTGCCTCCCGAGTGCTGGGATTAAAGGCGTGCGCCACCACCGCCCGGCCCAATCTTTTTTTTTTGATAAATTCCTTATTTTTTTTTTTTTTGAAGATTTATTTATTATGTACACAGAAGAGGGCACCAGATCTCATTACAGATGGTTGTGAGCCACCATGTGGTTGCTGGGAATTGAACTCAGGACCTCTGGAAGAGCAGCCCGTGCTCTTAACCTCTGAGCCATCTCTCCAGCCCAATAAATTCCTTATCTTTAAGAATTCAGGGAGGCTGGATGCTGGAGAGACAGCTCCACACAGCCTGTAACTCTAGCTCCAGAGGGATCTGTCACCTATGGCCTCCGAGGGCCTACAGTCACATACACATACTCCCACATACATAATTAAACTAAAAATAAAATCTTAAAAGAAAAAAAAGAATTCAGGGAGGGTTAGGGATTGGGGATTTAGCTCAGTGGTAGACAAATTGCCTCACAAGTACAAGGCCCTGGGTTCAGCTTTTAGTTGGCAGTGGGGTGTGAAAGGCCAAAACAGTAACTGTAGCTTAGATGTAGTGTAGAACAAGCTGTAATCCCAGCACCTCTGTGAGTCCCAGGACAGACAGGGCTACAGAGTGAGTGAGACTTTGTCTCCAGAGAGAGAGAGAGAGAGAGAGAGAGAGAGAGAGAGAGAGAGAGAGAGAGAGAGATTGAAGTTAGGTTGAGATGCCCAGATGGCTCAGTGGTTATGAGCACATACTGCTCTTGGAGAGGACTTAAGTTTGTTTCCAGCTGTTGGGCAGCTCACAGCCACTTGTAATTGCAGCTTCAGGGAATATGAAGTTTCAGCTCTACATATTTCTCCCTTATCCCCCATAATTAAAAATTAATGTGTAAGGGACCTGAGATGGAAAGAGATCTTCTTTTCTTTTCTGTCTGTTCTTTCTTTGTAAACTGTTTTTGCTTTCTGTGCTAGATATTTTATTATAGTTAATCTCTGTGGAAATCATTTACAACGTCTTTAGTCTGATTACTGTAGTTTCTAAAATATCATGTGTTTGTTTCAGTTGTAAATTTGAATACATTCACAATTTAGAAGGAAAATAGGTATCACAAACAGTTTTCATTTTGATATTTTCCTACTTTTTTTCTAACAGAGAAGAAGTTCGTGCCCCAATTCCTCAAAAGCAAGAAATTTTGGTGGAGCCAGAACCTTTGTTTGGTGGTAAGTTAACTTCATTTGACTTTGTCATTGTCCAGGATTTTAATAAAATGAACTGGAGATCTGAGGGCTTACTCAAAGATGGTCTCCTCATTTATAGAATCAGTTCTTTTCTTACATGTCTATATTCTCCCCCAGGTAAGCTGCATTCCTTAACAGGGAATAATGAGGAGGAGGAAGCTTACCAAAAACAATGGCTGTCTTTTTTTGTAAGGGAAGGTGCCACTATAACCTTAGCTGGCCTGGAACTCAGAGACTGCCTACTCTCCATCCTCAATTCTAGGATTCAAGATGTGCGCTGCCATGGCTACCCCACCACACACATCCTCCCTTTGGAATAGCTGCATCTTTTGGAAACTAATGGCAGTATATTAAAAAGAACTCTTAATTTTATGCCGTGTCGTCTTCTGGATATACATAGGACGGATAGCTCAGTATACACTTGACTTAAAGCTCTTTATTGTTTTGTGTGCTTTGCCTTCTCTCATTTTAATTTCTCCAAGTGCTGTTCTTGTTTTGGACAGAAGAGAAAAATAGTTCTTATTCCATGCTCCCCCCCCCCCAAAAAAAAATTAGCAGTCTGGGTGAATTGAAATATGCTAAATTATGGGGTATTTAATCAGTTTTAAAGAACAGTAATAGTTTAATAAGTACCTACTTCCTTTTATGAGGCAAGTATTTGTAGGTATTACTTAAAAAATAGGTGAATCTTACTGTGGTAGGACAAACAGATGGTGAAATGTATATTGAGAACACTAGTACAGAGAACTGGTTTGAAACAGGAGGATGAAAGACCTATTTTTAAGTTTCTTGGAAAAACTAGAATAGGGAAAGAGAAATAATTTTTAAATTTTTATTTATTTACTTATTTGAGACAGGGTTTCCCTGTGTGTCCTTGGCTAGTCTGGGGCTTGTTATGCTCTTAAACTTACAGAGATCTGCTGGCCTCTGTCTCCTGAGTTCTGAGATTAAAGATGTGTGCCACTATACCAGGCAAGAAGGGGCACTCGTTTTTGTTTTTGTTTTAAAGGATTAAAAAGTTACCCATTTGGTGTCAATACTTACTTCCTAAGTAGAACACTTGCCTAGCATGTGTGAGGCACTCGTTTTTGTTTTTGTTTTAAAGGATTAAAAAGTTACCCATTTGGTGTCAATACTTACTTCCTAAGGAGAGCACTCGCCTAGCATGTGTGAGGCACTAGGTTTTACCCTAGCAGTGCTAAATTCCATCTGTATTGAACATAACTTTTTTCTTGTCAGCACTCCCTAAACAACAGAACAGTCATTTCGAAAGCATTTATACTACATTATATACATTATATATAATTACATTATATATGTTATATATAATTACATTATATATTACATATAGTAAGTAATGTAGAGATAGTGTAAATTATAAAGTAAGTACATTGAAAAATGTGCCCATGTGTGCATGTGCATGCATGTAAAGGCCAGAGCTTCGGATCATCCTCGATTGTTCGTCTGCCTTATTCACTGGGGAAGGTTTCTGAATCAAACCCAGAGCTCTCTGACATGGGTTGCCAGCTTGCTCTGGGGATCCCATTTTTGCATTGTATTGTGTGACAAAACTTCTTGGGAGGCGCAAAACATACATAACTCACGTCAGATGGGGAACTCATTACAGACCAAAGTATGGATACCATCAAAGTCCAAGTTGGTGAACTGATGAGTTTATTGGGTTACTTACAGGAATATGGGTGAGGGATCTAAAAGATAGCTCTGTCACCAAAGCCCACCCAGCATGAGTGACAGCTCACAAAAGCTGAGAATCTGGAGCACAATGCACAGCCTACAGGCAGCTCAACAGGTTGGGCAGTGTCCTTTCCAAGTACCTCAGTAGGTCTAAACCTTTTCCAGGCAGCTCAGCTAATTTTCTTCCAGACAGTGAGTCTGATCTGAGAGTCTTCTTTGTAGCTTAGCTTTTATTGCTAACTCTTTCAGGGAGTGGCCTAATGAATCTGGTCAGTTTCAGGGACTTCCTGAAGCTGTTTTGAGATGTTTACCTTCCTGCTTAAGGAGCTTCCTGCAGGATGGAATGTTTTAATCTGAGGGAATTTATACAACACCTTCCAAGGCTGGGATTACAGGTGGGTTGCTGTCTTAGTTACAGTTTCTGTTGCCGTGAAGACACACCATGACCACGTCATGTCAACTCTTACAAAGGAAAACATTTAATTGGGTGACTTACAGTTCAGAGGTTCAGTCCATTATCATTATGGTAGGTCATGGTGGTGTGCAGGCAGACATGGTGCTGGAAAGGTAGTTGAGAGTTGTACATCTTATTCAGGTAGCACTCACTGAGTGTATACTTATTGTGTACATCTTACTCAGGTTTGTCTCACTGAGTGTGACTTGAGCATATAAGGACCTCAAAGCCTGCCTCCACAGTGACATACTTCCTCCAACAAGACCACACCTATCTAACAAGGCCATGCCTCCTAATAGTGCCATTCCCTTTGGGGGCCGTTTTCTTTTAAACCACCATGGTTGCCGAGCCCACTGGGAATTTAACCTCGATTCTGGGGATCCAGACTTAACTCTTCAGGTCTGTACAGCAAGTGCTTTTGCTGCTAAGATGTCATCCTACCTTGGATATTCACCTACAGGTTGTGGATACTGAGAGATAGGGATGGGTTAGACAGCTTCATGTTATAGTAGTAAGATATTTGAGTTAGTTATCTTGAAAAGAGGACACTATTTTAGTTCACTATTGGAGGTTTCAGTTAGTCCCTTTGCTTGTGGCAAGGCAGTGTATATCATAGTGAATGCGTATGGTAGAAGTTGCCCAGTTCTTGGCAGCCAAGAAACAAAGGGTAATAAAAGAGACCAGGGTCTCATGCCCTCTTCAAGGGCATAACCCAAAGTGACCAAAGCTTCTCTGTTAGGTCCCACTTCTCAAGGGCTCACTACCTCCTCATAGGCCTTTGGGGTGACACCCAAATCATAGGAAGAAGAGTTTCCTTCAAAGCTGTTGGATAGAAATGCTATATCCTCAATACAAAGCAAGTGAAAGAGCCAAAGTCTGGGACTCTGCCTAAGACTCAGAACAATGAATTTTATTGAGACGGAATATAAAGAGCTGATTAGATTTTAACTTGCACAAACCTTTTTCAAAAGATTATTTACTTATTTACTTGTTTGTTTTTTGGGACAAAGTTTTTCTGTGTAGCCCTGGCTGTCCTGAACTCACTCACTAGACCAGGCTGGCCTTGAACTCAGAGATCCGTCTGTCTCTGCCTCCTGAGTGCTGGGATTAAAGGTATGCACTCACGGCTGAGCTCAAGATTCATTTCTTTTTTTTAATTTTTAACTGTGTGTGTGTGTGTGTGTGTGTGTGTGTGTGTGTGTGTGTGTGTGTGTGTTTTCCTGGAGTTGGCATTTACAGGTAGGAGTGTGTATGTGCACGTGTATACCTGTCCAAGGAGGCCAGAGGTCATCGGATCCCCTGGAACTGGAGTTAGAAGTAGTTGTGCCCCGACTGATGTGGACGCGGGTAACTAAGCTCAGACCCTTTGAAAGAGTGGTACATTCGTTTTAACTGTTGAACCAGCTCTTTCAAACCCAGTTTATCACAAATCTTTAAGGAATCACCACTACTTAAATTTTGGAATATCAAAGAATATTCATATTTATCTAAAATGATATTTCTTTACTACTGTATTTCTGTGTGGGGCTGGATTTTAATATTCTTCCTATACTTGAATTTAAATTAAGCAGTTGTTTGTAAATTAATGCAGATGAAATGAAAATCCTAGTTGTTTTTCTCTTAAGCTAGATATTAACAGATTTGTGAAAACAGTGTTGCTCTGCTCACTATGTTGTTTTTCTCTGCTAGTCCTTGTCTTCCACTATGATATATAGGACTTTACTATGTGTGTGGATTTCTTTTAGCTTTTTGTAGCTTAGTCTTTTTGGCCTTGATGAATATCATGCCTACTGAGTGGATAGAAGGATGATTACAGAGGAATGGTGTTTGCTTATAGTAACTGGTTTGCAAGAGAGAGGGGGCACTTGGAGAAAAGGTCCTAGGGCAAGAAGTGCTGAAGGTTGAAAAGAGGCTCTTAGTGAGGGTCTGATAAATGAGGAGGGAACAAATAGGAGCAGGTGATGAGCCCGAGAACTGATAAGAGCTGGGTAGAGGGCTAGTGATAATGAAGGAGTAGTAAAAGCCTCAAGGTGATGAGCTACCTCACCAAAGGGAGGAAGGAGAGGTGACATGAAGTGTGGCGGACTATCAGCTGGCTGCTGTTGGTGGTTCAGAAGTAAGTAGAATATTGTCCCTGGAACCCCTGGTTGAAGGAGAGGACCAGTTCCTCAATGTTGTCCTCTGATCCGTACACATGGATTGTGGCAAGCACACAATAAAATAAAATGAAAACCCTATCATATGACTAGTTTTCAGAAGACATTGTTTGGGGGCCAGGTATGGTAGTACATGACTGTAACTCTAGTACTTAGAAGGCTGAGGTAGTAGCAGATTTTGAGCTCCAGGCTAGCCTGGCCTAGATACAAGACCTGTCTGTAAAAAACCAAAGCAACAACAAAGGCATTGAGCCTAAAGTATTTTTGCTACAAACATACATTTTAAATAGAAATTCTTGATTAAAAGTAGTTCAAAGATTGAAAAGAATCACAATTCTTCATTTTTTTTTTTAAACATGAAAAGGGAACAGAATGAAAAGAATTAGGTTTAATTTTTTTTTCAATTTGGGTTAAGTATTTAAATATTTAATACTAACCATTTTTTTAAATCTTTTTTTTCCTGAAGATAATTGTGATTCTTTTGTTTTTGAAACAGTCTTGTAGCATGAATCTTAAAAGGTCTTACTAATAAAAACAAGCCCGGAGCCAGGTGTTGGGGTGAGTGCTGAATGATCAGAAAAGCAGAACAAGCCACAGCTAACTTCACTTCGCCAATTCCTCAGCTGATCTTGTTTCCTCAGACTGGAAGCCTCTGTGTCGTCATCCAAATGGATCTCTGCTGCTCAAAAGCCTAAAGGCTCTATCTAGTTCCTGGTTTTCATGCCTTATATACCTTTCTGCTTTCTACCATCACTTCCTGGGATTAAAGGCATGTGTCACCATACCTGGATGTTTCCAGTGTGGCTTTGAACTCACAGAGATCCAGACGGATCTCTGCCTCCTGAATGCTAGGATTAAAGGCTGTGCTACCACTGCCTAAACCTATGTTTAATAATGTGGCTGTTCTGTTCGCTGACCCCCAGATAAGTTTATTGGGGTGAACAATATATCAACCACACAGTCTTATGTAGTCCAGCCTTGAACTTACTATATAGCTCATTGTGACCTTCAACCTCCTGTTCATACTGGGATTCCAGGCATGTAGCACTATGTGTGGCTTTATAATTATGATAGTTTAACATAAATATTGGTGGTTGTGTGTGCTTATAGGAATGGCATTTAAACATAATATTAACAGTGAAGTTCTCATGTGGCCTTCATTTATCATGGTCTCTCATTCCTTGTTCTCCCTCTCTGTTCTTGATCCAGCTGGGATCTCCCACTCCCCTAAGCTCTCTTCCCCTCGACCCTTGCCCTTCATTACCCCCATTTCTCTGTCATTGGGCGATCCCTGTGTCTTTCTTGGGGTCTTGTTTTCTAGGTAGCCTCCCTGGAGTTGTGAGTAGCAGTCTAGTCATCCTTTGTTTTACATCTAGTATCCTCCTATGAGTGAGTGAGTGCTGTGGATATCGTTCTGTATAAATAAAACACTGATTGGCCAGTGGCCAGGCAGGAAGTATAGGCGGGACAAGGAGAGAGGAGAATTCTAGAAAGTGGAAGGCTGAGTCAGGGAGTCACAGCCAGCCACCACCATGACAAGCAGCTTGTGAAGACGCTGGTAAGCCACGAGCCACGTGGCAAGGTATAGATTTATAGAAATGGATTAATTTAAGCTGTAAGAACAGTTAGCAAGAAGCCTGCCACGGCCATACAGTTTGTAAGCAATATAAGTCTGTGTTTACTTGGTTGGGTCTGAACGGCTGTGGGACTGGCAGGTGACAAAGATTTGTCCTGACTGTGGGCAAGGCAGGAGAACTTTAGTTACAAGTGAGTACATACATACCATGTTTGTCTTTCTGAGTCTGGGTTACCTCACTCAGGATGATTTTTTCTAGATCCATCCATTTGCCTGCAAACCTCATGATGTCATTGTTTTTCTATGCTGAATTTTCACAATTCTTCATTGTGAGAATAGGAAGAAGCAAAGTGCTAGAGAGGTCCACAGAAATCCACAAAGATACCTCCACAATAGACTACTGGCAGTGGTTGAGAGAAAGCCCGAACTGACCTACTCTGGTGATAAGATAGCCAAACACCCTAATTGTCATGCTAGAAACCTCATCCAATGACTGAGGGAACCAGATGCAGAGATCCACAGCCAGGAGCTCCAGGAGTCCAATTGGCGAGAAAGAGGGGGTTTTGTATGAGAGAATTGTTGAGACCAAGGCTGGAAAAAGCACAGGGACAAATAGCGAAATGAATGGAAACACATGAACTATGAACCAATAGCTGAGCAGCCCCCAACTGGATCAGGCTCTCTGGATAAGTGAGACAGTTGATTAGCTTGATCTGTTTGGGAGGCATCCAGGCAGAGGATGAGCTGACTGTTTGAAACCTGGGGCTTATACAGGGACACTTGGCTCAGCCTGGGAGGAGGGGACTGGACCTGCCTAGACTGAATCTACCAGGTTGAACTCAGTCCTCAGGGGAGTCTTTGCCATGGAGGAGATGGGAATGGGGGGCGGGGGTGGCCTGGGGGTATGGCTTGGGGGTGGGAAGAACAAGGGAATCCGTGGCTGGTATGTAAAATTAAATTATAAAATAAAATTTAAAAAAAAAATCCTTAAAAGCAACAACAACAAAAAAAAGTGAAGTTCATTTTGGGTTCTAATTTTTTGAGACATGGCCTTGTGTAGCCAGCTCAGGTTGCCTTTAAACTCATGTAGTCAAAGATGACTTTAAATTTCTGCTGATTATAGGCATGTGTTAACCACACCAGGACTATGAGGTGCTGGGAATGGAAGCCAGGGCTTCTTGCATGCTGGGCAAGCTCTACGAACTGAGTTTTACTATGAGCCATGAGTTTTTAAGTTTTGGTTTAGATGGCTCAGAGGTGGTTCTTCCAGAGGTCCTCAGTTCAATTCCCAGCAACCACATGGTGGCTCACAACCACCTATAATGAGATCTGGTGCCCTCTTCTGGCCTGCAGGGATACATGCCATAACACTGTGTACATGATAAATAAATCTTTAAAAAGACTTAATTTATGGTGTGTGTGTGTGTGTGTGTGTACACGCACGCTCATGCGGAAAAGGAGAGTGGGTCCCATGGAGCTGGAGTTAGAGCTGGCTGTGAGCTGACCCATGTGGTGCTGGAACTGAACAAAGCAGCACTTGCTTTCAGCTGCTGAGCGTCTGTTTTGTAGTTTTGTTTTCCTTTTAACTTAGTACTTTCTTTTTGTCTTTCTTTCTTTCTTTTTTGGTTTTTTTGAGACAGGCTTTCTCTGTGTAGCCCTGGCTGTCCTGGGACCTGCTCTGTAGACCAGGCTCATAGAGATCCGCCTGCCTTTGCCTCCTGAGTACTGGGATTAAAGGTGTATGCCACCACTACCGGCTGACTTAGTGATTGCATAGTTTATAAAAAGTTGCTTTGATGTGGGGTGAGAGACTTTTGGACTCTCGATCTTATCTTCTAATCATTAATGTGGGACATTGTTTGGTTATATGCTGGACAGGCTCACCATATGTAAGTCAGTTAAAACTGTTACACTGAAAGAATTATTTAAAATCTCCATTTTCAGTTGGCCATGGTGATACATGTCTTTAAATCCCAGCTCTAAGACAGGTGGTCAGACTTGTCTACATAGTGAATTCTAGGACAGAGAGAGACCCTATCTCAAAAAGCAAAACAACATCAACAAAATTCCATTTTCTATGATGTGCATGAGTAATTTGATACTTTTTTTTTAAGTTTTAGAACATTTTTCTAAGAGAAGGTGACATTTCAATTAATACATTCTAAATCTTATGTAAAATACTTAAAAATTGAATATAGGCTCTCTACAAGGGTAGCAGAAGAACTTTGTCCTGTGTAATCATGGGAACACTTCAGAAATTTACAGTCTATGTTTAGTGTTTATGATTCTATGTGTGCATCCATTAAGATAGAATTTTTAAATCTTAGGGTGTAGAACTTATGTAGGGGCTGGGACTGTAGGTAGATAGAGCACTTGCCTAGCATTTTTTTCCCTCCCAAGACATGGTCTCACCATATAGCTCTGGCTGTCCTAGAACTCACTATGTGGAACTCACTATGTGGATCAGTCTGGTCTTGAACTTGTTGATCTTGAACTCACAGAGATGTGTCCACTTCTGCCTCACAAATACTGAGATAAAAGGTATGTGACAACATGAGGCCCTCTCTACAAAGAAAAGAATTTACAGCCAGGCAGTGGTGGCTCACACTGTTAATCCCAGCACTCATAGGCAGGTGGATCTCTGAGTTCAAGGCCAGCCTGGTCTACAGAGCGAGTTCCAGGACAGCCAGGGCTACACAGAGAAACCCTATAAATCGTCATCTGGTCTCTCTTACCTAGTTCTGATTTTCTTATTTGTATAATAAGATGATTGGGTCATAACTTGAAAGACTTGACTTTTTTGTTTGTTTATTTTGAGAGCAGAACATGGACTTTACCGACTGAGCTATTTTGTTTCTTGAGATGAGGGGTCTTGCTTTGTAGCTCAGGCTGGCCAAGAACTTGCAGTGATTCTCTTGCCCCAGGTGCTGGGATTACAAGGGTGCTGCTACCACACTAGGCCTTGACTTAAAAGTGTAAAAATATATTTCCCTTTTTCTTTCTTTCTTCTTTTTCTTTTAGACAGTGTTTATCTGTAGCGTTGGAGCCTGTTCTAGAACTCACTCTGTAGACTAGGCTGGCCTTGAACTCACAGAGAACCACCTGGCTTTGCCTCCCGAGTACTGAAATTAAAGGCATGTGCCACCACTGCCAGGCTTCTTTTTTTTTTTTAAATGATTTTTTTTTTTGTTTTTTGAGACAGGGTTTTTCTATGTAGCTCTGACTGCTTTTTGAAAGGACATGGGTTCAATTCCCAGCACCCATGTTGTGGCTCATAACTGTCTATAACTCCAGTTTCAAGGCATCTGACACTCCTCTGGTCACATGGTGCACAAACTTACATTGTAGGGAAAATATACATATACATAAAAGAAAACAAAATAAAAAAAGAAATGCTTATATGAGGAATATCTTGAGAATTTTCAGAATTAATGTTTTAATTTTTTAACCAATTCTGTTTTTCTTCTACAGCCCCTAAAAGACGAAGGCCTGCACGTTCAATATTTGATGGTTTCCGAGATTTTCAAACTGAAACTAGTAGGTATTTGTGAACCAGTCTGACGACTTCCTCTTCCACTTCCTTTCTCTTAAAATGAAAAAGATGATTAGTATTAGTTCTAATTACTGTGAGGATTCACCGTGTTTAAAAGGTGAAATTATAGAGACATTAAGATTTGGGTAAAGATACTGGCTGTGAAGCCTGAGTTTGATCCCTCAGACCCACGTGATGAGAAGAGAGAAACTGACTCCTGCAAGTTGTACTTGGACTCCACATGTATACCATGACATACATGTATACACACACTGTCCTCATTTGGTTACTATCACTGTGATGAAACACCATGACCAAAAAGCAACTCGGGGAGGAAAGGGTTTATTTTGCTCATGACTGAAGGAAGTCAGGACAGGAACTCAAGCAGGGCAGGAACCTGGGGGCAGGAGCTGATGCAGAGGCCACGTTGTGGTGCTGCTCACTGGCTTGCTCCTCGTGGCTTGTTCAGCCTGCTTTCTTATAGCACCCAGGACCACCAGCCCAGGGGTGGCACCACCCACAATGGGCTAGGCCATCCCCCTACAGCAGTGTTTCTCAAGATGAGGGACACAACTGTTTTGCAGGGGTGGTCAAGTGACACTTTCACTGGGGTCACATATCAGATCTCCTGCTTATCAGATATTTGCATTACAATTCATAACAATAGTAAATAATGGTTATGAAGAAGCAGTGAAATAATTGTATAGTTTGGGGGTTATCACAACATGAGGAACTGTATTAAAGGGTCACAGCATTAGGAAGGTTGAGAACCACTGCCCTACAGGCCTGCCTGTAGCCAGCCTAGTGGTTATGGAGTCATTTTCTTAATTGAGTCTCCTTCCTCTTTGATGACTCTAGCTTGTCAAATTGACATACTAGTCAGCACAGTTCATACCTTTCTATGGTGCAGCTCAGAAGTATCTTGGCCTCACACTTTTAAAGATTTCTAAAGAAAGGACATTTTTTGTTTATTTGGGGGGGGGGGTGTATAAGCCATGATGTTCATGTGTCCTCTATCAAGAGGACAGCTTATTGGAATTGATTCTGTCCTTCCATATACAAGTACCCTGACTTACTGAGCCATCTAGCTGGCTCAGGACAGTTACTTTTAGATAATACATAGGAAATGCTTTGGTCTGTGTCTAGTTTTGTAACTTATTTATCTGTGCCCCTTTAGGGCACAGATAGGTTCTGTAACTTTGGAGAAAGTTGAAAGAGAAGGCTTGAGTTTTCAAAGGAATCTGTGCTCTTCTAGTAGATGGGGACAGCAGTGTCCATATCCTCTACTTCAGGAGTCATTCAAAATGGGAACTAGCTACAATGGATTGGTTAGGGTCACTGTTAGAACTAGAGAAATGGTTCTGAAAGCTGTCTTCTGGGTTGCTTATGAATATGTGAAGGAATTTATTTTGGTGAGGGTGTGTGTGTGTGTGTGTGTGTGTGTGTGTGTGTGTGTGTGTGTGTGTTTTGTGGGGACAGACAGGGCCTTGAATATTCTATATACGACTGTTTGTAACTAATTTAATTTTCTACTTTTATCCTCTGGCTAGTAACCACCACCAAATCCTAAATTTTTTTTTTTCTCACTTCTTTGTATTTTTTCAGTCATTAACTTTTTGTGTTTGAGACCAATCACACTATTCAATAACTCTTTCAGTCAATATAAGGCCTTTTGTTTATTATGTAATTTAACATTTCTATTTTATGGCTAATTAAAATGTTTCCATCCTTCTGTATTGTAGTTAGGCAAGAACAGGAATTAAGAAATGGAGGAGCAATAGATAAGAAACTAACAACCCTTGCAGATCTGTTCCGGCCCCCAATCGACTTGATGCACAAAGGCAGCTTTGAAACAGTAAGTTGTTGAAGATTCTGTACTGTAACTATAAACTGGTTTACAGTTTGTGTCCTGTCCCCCCCCCCCTTTTTTTTTTTTGAGACAAGGCCTTACCATGTGGCCTGGACATATTATATAGACCATGCTGGCCTCAAAATCACAGAGATGGGTCTGCCTCTGCCTCCTCTGTGTCCACTATGCCTTTCTTTTTTTTTTTTTTTTTTTTTTTTTTTTTTTTTTTTTTTTTTTTAAGGCAGGGTTTTTTTTTTTTTTTTTTTTTTTAAGATTTATTTATTTATTATGTATACAGCATGTATAACCAGAAGAGGGCACCAGACCTTATTACAGATGGTTGTGAGCCACCATGTGGTTGCTGAGAATTGAACTCAGGACCTCTGGAAGAGCAGTCGTTGCTCTTAACCTCTAAGCCATTTCTCCAGCCCCCATGAAGTTTATTTTTAACAACAGTGTATGAGATTGTTTATTTTGAGAGCCTTTGATTAGCCTTGTGTGGCATCAGTGTAAAATCTTTACCACTTTGAAAGCTTCTTTTTTAAAAACTTAGTTTTGAAATTGCCTGGTGGCGGTGGCACATGCCTTTCATCCCAGCACTTGGGAGGCAGAGCCAGGCGGATTTCTGTGAGTTCAAGGTCAGCCTGGGATACAGAGTGAGTTCCAGGACAGGCACCAAAACTATACAGAGAAACCCTGTCTTGAAAAATCAAAAAAAAAAAAATTAGTTTTGAAAATGTGTGTATCTTTTACTACTGCTGGGTATGTAATGTTATATTTATTAACCATTTATAAATTATTTGTATTCATCTTTTGCCTATGTTGTTGTCTCTTCATTTGCAGTTTTGCTTAGATTTAATTTACATGAAGTCTCAAAATATTAAATGGAAAGTTCCCGAAATAAAAATTGATATGTTTTAAGTTATGCACTGTTCTAAGTAGCGTAATGAAATCTCACCATCCACTCAGGACAGTGTATCTATATAATATCTATTACCTACCTGTTTATTTATTTCTATTTTTATTTTTTTAAGATTTATTTATTATGTATACAGTGTTCTGCCTGCATGTGTCCTTGCAGGCCAGAAGAGGGCACCAGATCTCATAGATGGTGGTGAGCCACCATGTGGTTGCTGGGAATTGAACTCAGGACCCCTGGAAGAGTAGCCAGTGCTGTTAACAGCTGAGCCATCTCTCCAGCCCTACGTACCTGTTTATTATTTAGCTAACTGATCTGGGGTAATATAAATTGATCAACTTGCTGGGGTGGTGGTAGTGCACACCTAGCACTAGGAAGGAGGAGGCAGGTGGATCGCTGAGTTCAAGGCCAGTCTGATCTACAGAGTGAGTTTTGGGTCACCTGGGACTACACAGAGAAACCTTGTCTTGGAAAAAACAAAAAAACATTGATCAACTTATAATATCTTCATTTTATTTATTTAGTTTTTTTGTTTGTTTGTTTGTTTTTGTTTTGTTTTGAGACAGGGTCTCACTATGTAGCTCTGGCTGTTTTGGAACTCATTATGTAGACCAGACTGACTCTGAAATTAAAGGTGTACACCACCACACCCAACTCAATTTGTAACATCTTAAATGCTTTGTGTTTCCTTCATTGTGACCCCAAACTTAACTAGTGATATTGGTAATTGGGTATATCACAGGCAGATTGCGAAGTGTTTCCTTTAAGTAAAAGGGTGATAAGTCTTGGTCTGTAGTAAGAATGAACTATCCATGAAATTGTGAAGAAGGAAAATTTTTTTTTTACTAGTTTTGCTGTCATATCTGACGTTCGTTGTAAAAGTTCAGTCTTGGTGGGGCAGTGCTTGGTTAGAGTGGACAATGCATTAAACTTGTGTATATTTGTTATTTGTGGTTTCACACATGTACTGGGAATGTTGGAAATAGGTCTGAATCAAATTGCAGAATATATTCTCCCCCTGGTTCTTCCTAGCTTTATCTTTCCTAAACCCAGATGGAAACTTCCTGGGGCAGGTTTACTTGACCGTCTGTTAACTTTTAGGCAAAGCAAGGGGAATATGTTCCCTTCTCACCACAGCGAAAACAACTGTCATTGAGAAAACAGCAATAGAGGCTGGAGAGATGGCTTAGCAGTTAAGAGTGTTTGCCGCTCTTGCAGAGGATCCGGGTTCAGTTCCTAGCACTCACATGGTGGCTCACAACTGTAGTTCTAGGGGATCTGGTGCCCTCTTCTGGTCTCTACAGATAGCAGGCATGCACATAAACTCATAAACACGCACTCAAATAAAAATAAATAAGCCTTTAAAAAACAAACAGGTAAAAATTAAAACAAAACTATCCCGTTGTCAGGATACTTGGAAAATCCAGAGAGGATTTGCTGAGGGGTAAGACTGTTACACTGAAAGTGGGTAGCACCATTTCTTTTAGGTGGGGTTCCAGCAGCCAGCTTAAAGCCAGCATTCCGCTTTCTCTGCTTTATAGACTACTGAAGTTCTCTGCAGGAGCAGAATCAAGACTATTGTGCATATGATTATAAAAAAAAAAAAAAAAAAAGAGGGATTTATTAGGTTGCCTTAATGATACTGGCTGGTAGTTAGTTCAGCAGTGGCCGCCTGTATACTTGAGCTGCCCAATCTAAGGAGCTGGGTGCTTCAGCCATCCCATCTGGTGCTTAAGGCCTAGAAACTTCCTGGAGAGCTGGAGTCTGACAATGGCAATGACCACATGTGCACATTGAGAAGGAAAGGGGCTTGCAAGTGTGTACGTAATTACTTCCTCCAATTTTCATTCATCCAGTGGCTGGTGCAGGCTAACTTCTGAGTGGGCCTTTTCTCCCAGTCACTATCCTAAAGGTCTGTGCTCTGTAAAGTGTAATTTCACCAGTCCTGATTTCTCCTAATCCACTCATTGATAGCTCTCAAGGATTAGGTATATGCAAAATAATAATGTATAAATACTAAAAGCTCTAGATTAAAGATTTATTACTTATGTGTATGTATGTGCACATGAATGCATGTGCATGAAGTTGCCCTCAGAGGCCGGAAGAGGAATCAGATCCTATGAGCCACTGAGCATAGTTCCTGGGAACCAAACTCCATTTCTCTGCAAGAGTGTCAAGTACTTTTAACTCTAGCTATAACTCGAGCCTCTAAATATCATTTTAAAAATATTCTTATTAATTATTTGATAATTTATTTTTTTTTCTTTTTTTGGCAGCAGTTTGAGACAGAGTCTCTCTATATAGCCTTAGATGTCTGCCTACCCATGCTGGGATTAAAGGTGTGCACCACCCATACCCTCTTTGAATTTGTTACAGTGTATTTTAATCATATTCATTCCCTGTTCTAGTAACTCCTCCCAGATTCACATCTCTGACCTGGGAAGGTTGACTCCCTCTCAACCTTTTTTGTTTGTTTTTTTGTTTTTCGAGACAGGGTTTCTCTCTGTAATAACTCTGGCTGTCTTGGAACTCTCTTTGTAGACCAGGGTGGCCTTGAACTCACAGAGATCCACCTGCCTCTGCCTCCCAAGTGCTGGGATGGAAGGCGTGTGCCACCACCGCCTGGCCCCTCAACTTCTGTAGCCTCTGTCCCTGCCTTGTCTAAAACCATCGAGACTAATTTGCACTACCCTTATACTGATGGTTCAGGGGACATCCACTGGAGCATGTTCATTCCTACAGGGATGACACTCTTAAGATGGACTCTCTCTGTCATCTGTCATCTGTCAGTAGCTCCTCATTTGGGTGTGGGGGTTCGTGTCCTTTTCTCCATCCTCCATGCTGGAATGTTGACTGGCTTGGTTTTGTATAGGCCTTGTGTAGGCACTCAGAGAGCTGTTGAGTCCTGTCACAGTCAGGAAGACACTGTTGCAATCTGGTCCTCTCCAATTTCTGGTTCTTCAAATTCTTCACCTTCTTTCATGATGGTTGCTGAGCCTGGGGCTATTGGGGCTGTGCACTCCTGACACTTTCCTCTGCACTTGGACCACTTGTGAGTTTATGCATTAACCATTGTCCTCTGCACAAAGAAGTGGTGAGTCATCGATGTCCATTTTAAAAGAATGCTTAGTGTTCACATGGAAAGGACAGCACCTGAATGCTGGACTACATCAGGGACTAAATAGAAACTTTTTGTTTGTTTTGTTTTTCAAGTCAGGGTTTCTCTGTGTGGCTCTGGTTGCCCTGGAACTGGCTCTGTAGACCAGGCTGGCCTCGAACTAGGAGATTCGCCTGCCGCAGTGCTGGGATTAAAGGTGTGATCCACCACTGCCTGGTTTGAAACTATTTTTTTTTTAAATATTTAACCTTATTCTTACAGGCCAAAGAGTGTGGCCAGATGCAAAATAAGTGGCTGATGATAAACATTCAAAATGTACAAGACTTTGCATGCCAGTGCCTCAATCGTGACGTGTGGAGCAATGAAGCTGTGAAGAATATTATCCGTGAACATTTCATTTTCTGGCAGGTGAGAAGGACAGTTAATTAAAAACTTTGTAATATTATCTATCTATCTATCTATCTATCTATCTATCTATCTATCTATCTATCTATCTATCTATCTATCTATCTATCTAATCTGGGGTGGTTTTCGAGACAGGGTTTCTCTGTGTAGTCCTGGCTGTCCTGGAACTTGTTTTGTAGACCAAGCTGGCCTTGAACTCAGAGATCAGCCTGCCTCTGCTTCCTGAGTACTGGGATTAAAGTTATGCACTGTCACCACCTGGCTTGGTGTGTGTGTGTGTGTGTGTGTGTGGTGTGGTGTGGTGTGGTGTGGTGTAGCATGTTGTGGAGGAGGAATGGGGTTATAAACTAGGAAAAGTGAATTCATTTATAACATGGTTCCCTGTAATGGTTAAATAATAAGGATAAGGGCAGCAGTGAAGAACTAATAGAAGGAACAAAATGAATGGAGTCATGTGGTACTTAGGCTGCAGGAGCATCTTGAAAGTCTACAGCTGGATAGTTCAGTAGAAAACAGTGTAAGCCCGAGCAGGTTACATTTTTCTAGAAATACCATCTGAAAAGGTTCAAAGGAAACAGGTGAAATGAACATAATAATATTTCTTTAAATCAATAGATGATATAACATTAACATTTAATGTCATGATCTGTGTGTATGTTGAAGTCTCAATGATATGGTATGTATTTCATGTTTATTGCATGAATTAGTCAATTTCTAATGTTTAATAGCCATGCAAGGTGAATAGCCATGTGGAAAACATCTTAGAATGTTGGAGAAATGTTGTTCAAATCTTAGATGGTCTTTTAATAAAAAAACCCAAAGCCAGATATCAGGGTGAAAGCTGAAAGATCAGAGAAGCAGAGCAGCCAGCCACTAGTTCTTACCTCTACGAAATCCTCAGTCTAAAGAGAGTGAGTTCCTGTTTCCTCACGCCTTGTATACCTTTTTCTGCCCAGACATCACTACTTAGGATTGTGTGTGCTTCCTAGTACTAGGATTAAAGGTGTGTGCCACCACTGCCTGGCTTTGTTTTCTCTCCTAGACTAAGTCAATCTCATGTAGTCCAGGGTGGCTTTGAACTCACAGAGATCCAGATGGATCGCTTCCTGACCTCTGTGTCTAATCTAGTGGCTGGCTCTGTCCTCTGATCCTCAGGCACATGTATTAGGATACACAATGTATCACCACAGAGAAACATTAAAACTTGTGTTTTAGCGTGAGTTTGTTACTCTTTGACATTGTGTTCTTGGCTTAGTGTTCCTGAGCTTTCCAGTTGTGATATCTTTTTGTGTAAATTATCTAGTTAAAAGTAGGTAGCCTACCTTCACTTTCCCTTTTGTTTCTTTCTTTTTGTTTGGTTGGGTTTTGTTGGAGAGGCTTGCTACTGGGGATTTAACCTGGGGCCTCCTGCAAGCTAGGCAAGTGCTCCACCATTAAGCTAATCTCCATCCTCCTTTTTAGTTTTTGTTGTTGTTGTTTTCTTTTTATTTTTAAGACTTTTTTTAAGATTTATTTTATTTATTATGTATACAGTGTTCTGTCTGCATGTAGCCCTGTTGTTTATTTATTATGTATACAGCCCCTGTAACTTTTTAAAAACTAGAAATTGAGGGGCTGGAGAGATGGCTCAGTGGTTAAGAGCACTGGGTGTTCTTCCAGACGTCCTGAGTTCAATTTCCAGCAACCACATGGTGGCTCACAACCATCTGTAATGAGATCTGGTGCCCTCTTCTGGCCCGCAGGCAGAACACTGTATGCAAAATAAATAAAAATAAAAAATTACAGAAAATAGCCAGGCGGTGGTGGCACACGCCATTAATCTCAGCACTTGGGAGGCAGAGGCAGGTGGATCTCTTGAGTTTAAGGACAGCCTGGTCTACAGAGCGAGATCCAGTACAGCCAGAGCTACATAGTGAGACCCTGTCTCAAAAATAAACCAAATCAACCAAACAGAAAACCCATCGATGGACAGATACTTGAGAAGGAAGAGTTAGTACCTCTTCTGAACTGAGAAGGGAGGAAGAATAGGTTGGTGTGTTCATAATGAGTTTTCAGAAGGGGCTGAGAATAGGATGTAAGTCTATACCTGTTCTTCCCCTTTCACATGGGAATGAGAACCTAACATGTTTATCAAAGGCTTATATGGAGAATCTATTGCTGTTAGTAGATAACATCGCAGTCAACCTTTTTTAAAGAGGCTTTTTATATCACTGGCTCAACAGGTTTATCACGACAGTGAGGAAGGTCAGAGATACATACAGTTTTATAAACTAGGGGATTTCCCCTATGTTTCCATCTTGGACCCCCGGACAGGTAAGTTACATCAAATTACAGCCTTAAACCTATTATTTTTTTTCCACATACCTAAATAGTTGATTAATATTTAACTGGATCTGGTTTTAGCAATGTAATAGTTAAGGAAAATTCTTTTGTTTATTACCATTATGATTGTGTAAACATCCTTGAATGTGTATATTTAGGGAATCTATTTCTAGCAACTTGAGGGGTAATAGCATTTTGTGTTTGAACAGAGGAAAATGGGTGCGATCATCTCTTCCTAAGGGTTTCCTTAGGTTTTCTATTATTAAATTGTTCAGATTATTTTAAGTACTAGTTGTATTCCTCTAGAACACTGGAGGGTGGGCTGGTTTCATTATTAATTATATTTTATTTAAATTTTGCTTTGTTTGAATTTCCTCTTCCTAAATGGCTGTAAGTGGTACCAGCAGATAATTTTCCTGTCATGATGGGTAGGAATCTATCAATGAGTTATAATTGATGTTGTCAGTAGGTTATGATGATACTGTGTGACTTCAGCAAGTGAGGGATGGGGATATGAATTTGTAGCAAATTTTAATTATGCATATTGCAATTATTTAATGAGCATGGTTAGACTAATTATTGATTTCTATGTTTACATGTCCTGATTTTTTTTTTTTTAGGTCAGAAGCTTGTAGAGTGGCACCAATTAGATGTATCTTCTTTCTTGGACCAAGTAACAGGGTTTCTGGGTGAACATGGGCAACTGGATGGACTTTCTAGCAGCCCTCCCAAAAAATGTGCACGATCAGTAAGTATAAGTGATGGGCGACTGAATGTACTTGTGTGTCAGCATCTTATATAAAATGTTTGCTGTTAAAGTAGTACTTAGAATAATGTAAGTAGTGAACAGTTAAGAGTTTCTGGCTGTACTTCTTAGATACTTTTTTTTTTTTTTTGATAGTTTTCTACAGAAGAATTTCATCTACTCAATGAAATCATAAGATATGTATATAACCCCCACATACATACACAATTAGAGAATAAAAATGAGACCTAAAAAAGAAAAGAAAGGAAAACTATAAATATGTAGAGCAGGAGAATTGATGTGGCCAGGCTGCTGGTAGAGGCATCTTCTTCCTAGGGCAGCTCTGGGAGGGCTTCTCATGCCAGACTGAAGTAGCAGTGGTCGTAAGGTTTTTACTTGGGATAGTATTTGGCATTATTACTGGTTAGATAGCTTTAGGTCCTGGGGTTCTGGCTCTCCCAGAGGCTTTTGGTTTTTTTTTTTCCCCCTCAAGACAGGTGCCTGTTCTGGATCTCACTCTGTAGACCAGGCTGGCCACTGGCCTTGAACTCACAGAGATCCGCCTGGCTTTGCCTCCTGAGTGCTAGGATTAAAGGCGTGTGCCACCACCGCCTGGCTCCCAGTTTATTTTACACTTAATCTCTATAATATGTTATGCAGACATCTTTGCTAATTGACATCACTATTAGTTTCAAGTAAAAGGTCTTCAAACATAAGGCAGCCTCACTTTGGTTATAATTGCTGTTTGCATTTTGATAGCAATAAGAATAAAATTATGTATCTTTAGAAGTCTATATTGTATAGTGATTAAAAAATAGTTATTTTTACAGAGAAACTCTGTCTCGAAAAACAAAAAAAAAATAGTTATTTTAAATTATTATCTAAAATAGTTACCTAAATAAAATTAAATAAATGAAACTTACGTTTTGGGCCTTTCACATTTCCTTACAAATTTTAGAACCAGCTTGGTTTTTTTTTTTTTTTGAGACAGGGTAGCTTTGCACCTTTCCTGGAACTTGCTTTGGAGACCAGGCTGGCCTTGAACTCACAGAGATCCGCCTGGCTCTGCCTCCCTAGTGCTGGGATTAAAGGCGTGCGCCACCACCGCCCAGCTCAGCTTGTTATTTAATACAAGAAAAAGTGCTAGAATTTGAATTGGAATTTAATTGGTTCTGTGGACATCTAGTCATTGAATCTTGAGGTCTAGTAGTATGGAATAAATCTCCCTATTTCTGTGTCTTTAATTTCTCCCAGCAGTGTTTTCTTGTTTTTTTGTACTGACCTTAGAGTGCAACCTCAGTAAACACATTTATTAATTTGAATAGCTGTTATGACACATCTTGCTGCTAGCTGATATATACATATGCATGTATATATATGTATGTATGTATTTATGTATGTATGTATGTATGTGTATATATGTATGTAGATAGAGTTTTATATTTTTATTCATTTATTTATTTTTGTGATCCAAACTGACTTGTAGAAGCTTAGGAGAGAAATCATTTACAGGAGCATTGGCGCCTTACCAGTGGCTACACCCTGTTCCCAGTGACCATTAACTGCTTATCTTAGAGTTATCTTAGAGAGGTTGAGTCCTTGTGAGTTCTTCCCATGGCAGGTTGTGGTGGGTCACTTTGTACAGGATTTATACAGGTGATCACAGCCACTGCATTTAGGAGTTCAGTTTTGTCATGCCCAGAAAATACTGTCCCACATCCCTCCACCCCATCCTTCCCATCTTACATTCTTCCTGTCTTTTCTTCTACAATGTTCCCTGAACCCTGGAGAGGCTTCTATGAGTGCTGTAGTCCCATTTATGGCTGAACATTTAACACTTATTCTCCATATTTTAACCACTTAGGAGTCTTTGCAGAAAGAAGCTTCTGTAACTAAAGCAGCAGAAGCACTAATCTGGCTGTTTAAGCCACTCAGTGCTCCTTCCCTGGCTCTTGGAGGCTTGTCTCACTGCTAGAAGTTCCTCTGTCTGGTTATATAGTTGCTTTTTTAATTTGTGTGTGTGATATGTGTGCGTGTATGTTCCTGTGTATGGGCCGTGTGGGTGTGGCTATGTAAGCCCAAGTTTGACATCAGGATCCTTACTCAGTTGTCTTCCTTGCCCTCTTCCTTATTCATTGAGGCAGGGTCTCAGTTGAACCCAAGGCTCATAAATATGGCTAGTCTGGTTACAGTTTGTTATGGAAATCAGTCCCCTGTCTCTGCCTACAGAATGTTGGAATCATAGCCCGGCTGCTACACCCACTGAGCATTTATAAGGGTACTGGGGATCTAAGCAATGGTCTTCAAGCTTTTGAAGTAAGCTCTTTAACTATTGATTGCCCTTTTAGTATATATATTTTATTAAGATGTACTTTATCAAGTTACTGAGGTTTCCTCCTTATTTTAGAGACAGGTTATGATCTTGTCCAGCTGGGCTCAGACTCAATATGTAGACGAGGATATCCTTGCATTTCTGATACTTCTGCCTCCATCTCCTACCTGTATTCCTTTTAGTCTTAGTTTGCAGGGTGTCACAGGTCTGTGGTCCCAGCACTCAGGAGGACTACTGCAAGTTTGAGGACAGTCAGAGCTAGCTAATGAATTCTGTTCTAGTTCAGGCTACAGAGTGAGACCTATCTCAAAACAAGTCGTAGACAAAACAAGCAGATAAATACTATAGTGCAAGTCGTACATGGACTTTCTTAGACATTTTTTTTTATTTAAAAAAATTTTTAGTTTTTATTCTATGTATATAAATGTTTTGCCTGTATGTGTGTGTATGTCCTACATATGTGAACTGCCCTCAGAGGCCACAAGAAAGTGTTGGATCCCCTGGAACTGAAGTTATGAATGGTCATGAGCCATGATGTGCGGTCTTAGGAAGTAAACCCATGTCCTCTGCAAGAGCAGCAGGTGGGGGGCTGGAGAGATGGCTCAGTGGTTAACAGCACACTGGCTCTTCTTCCAGAAGACCTGGGTTCAATTCCCAGCACCCACATGGCAGCTCACAACTGTCTGTAACTCCAAGATCTGACACTTTCATACAGACATACATATAGCCAAAACATCAATGCACATAAAATAAAGATAACTAAATTACTTTTAAAAACATTTTTTTAAAAAAGCAGCAGGTAGACCTGGAAGGATGGATTAGTGGGAGCATGTACTATTCTTCCAGAGGAACTGAGTTCAGATCCAAGTACCCACATCAGGTGGCTCATAGCCAGCTCCAAGTCTGGTGTCTGAGCACCTAATGTGCATATACCCCTTACAATATACATCATTAAAATAATAAAAATAAAACTCTAAAAAGAGTAGCAGGTTCTCTTAATCTGAACCAACTCTCCAGCCCCCGATGTTTTTGTTTATCACCATCTTTTGGGTTCTGTAAGTAAGGAGTCTCAGGGAAGAGTGAGGGTTGGATAGGAACCTGGTGCTGTCTGCTGTCTTCCTGCTGTGCAGTCAGTGTTACTGCAAATCCAATCACTTAGCTAGTGCATGTACCATAAATAAGTCTGCCTGCTTCATGTGAATGGTGAATTAGACTTCAGTTAATTTTTGTTTATTTTTCAGGACAAGTTTCTCTATTGTGTAGCTCTGGCTGTCCAAGAACTCACTCTGTAGACCAGGCTGGCCTTGAACTCACAGAGATCCACCTGCCTCTGCCTCCCAAGTGCTGGGATTAAAGGTGTGCACCACCATGCCTGGTTAATTTTTAAAAAATTATTAAATGGCGGTAGGAAAAGGATTGAGAGTTCCAAGACCATCCTGAGCCACATAGTGTGATTTGGGCCAAGCCAGACTATATAAAACTCTCTGTTAAAAAAAAACACACAGGGCTGGAGAGATGACTCCGTGAATAAGAGCACTTTCTTCACTTGTAGAAAACCCTAGTGTAGTTCCCTGCACCCACATGGGACAGCTCACAACCACCTATAGCCCCAGTTCCAGGGGATTCCCTGTCTTCTTCTAGACTCCGTAGATGCCAGGCATGCACATGGTATACATGCATAATTAAGTTCCATTCAGGTGGTCCATATTTTGTGACTCTTAAAAAATGAAATCCAGCTGGCCGGTGGTGGCACATGCCTTTAATCCCAGCACTCGGGAGGCAGAGCCAGGCAGATCTCTGTGAGTTCAAGACCAGCCTGGTCTACAGAGCGAGATCCAGGACAGGCACCAAAACTACATAGAGAAACCATGCCTCAAAAAACTGAATGAATGAAAAAGAGAGAGGGAGAGGGAAAGGGAGAGGGAGAGGGAGAGAGAGAGAGAGAGAGAGAGAGAGAGAGA